TTTCCAGCTAAAAGTTCCACTATACCTTTAGACAGCTACATTTAGAACTAGCAGTTCTCAGTCCCCTCTTTTTAATTTACATTTGCATAAAAATAGGACAATCACTGCTTATTTCACCATTCCAGCCTCGCTAATGTGTCTAGTCAGGGAGAGTGAGAGCACTGGCGTTTTGCATGATCCTGCACTTGAAATCTCTTTCATCTGTGCCACGTGGTAACATGCATATGCCTGTGAGAACTGGTAATTCGTTCAAAGCAAGTCATGAATTCAAATAAATAATCAGAAGGTTTCAGTAGCTGTTACGTGTACACATAGGACTTGGTCTCAATGAGGGCTGTAAAGAAAATAAAGTGCAAGTAACTGAATCCAGATTTGTCTCTTTTTTTTTTTTCCTTAATTTCTTCAGAAAAAGAAAATAGCTTCCTGCAAAGACCCAACCTTTCCTATGTCATTTTGATACTTATGTTTTACTTTAGCTGCACACAACATACTTTGGCATGAGTATGAGGCTCCTTTATTCTGAAGGAGCCCTGCTGGCGTCACTGCCTCACAGCCAGTGCTCTGGGAAAAGCAACCCAGATAGGCTTTGCTTCCCTCACTCTGACAGCCTCTGCTTCTGTTCAGGGTAAAATGTCTCACTGTAACAATCTTTGGTTTCTTTAAAGACCTTGCCACCATGGAAGAAAGAATACTGAAACGTTACTACAAAAAAGTCACGGAGTTTGTGGCAGATATGACCAAAATTTTTGATAACTGTCGTTACTACAATCCAAGCGACTCCCCTTTTTACCAATGTGCAGAAGTTCTCGAATCATTCTTTGTACAGAAACTAAAAGGATTTAAGGCCAGCAGGTAAGCTAAAGTTCCTAATCATAGATCTTCTCTTATCCCCTAAAATCTCCTTAATGCTTTTGTGAGCTTCCCTTGCCTTCTTACAGGGATTTGCCTCTCCATGCGCTTTCCTGGGCAACAACTTTTCTTTTCAAGGAGGAAAAAAAATAAAATCTGTTCTGTAATAGCCAGCTGTCAAATTCCATCAAATTAAGGCTTAAAATATGATTTTATGGAGGTTACTTTGTAATGTTTGTTCAAAATGAGTTGTTAGATACGAATTTGGGAAGTATCATAAATGTAGATGATCTGAAGGACACTTTAAGTCATTGCTGCAGAAATCTTGTTGAGAATCCTTTCTGACCAGGACAAATACTGCATTTGTGGTGTTCCAATAATGTTCTGCTGTGCACGAAATACTTTTCAGATGCTTAGAAGAGACGATCCTTCCATGAAGCTTATAATCAATGAAAGAAATTAAAATACTTCAATTTTTACTACCTTCTTTCATCTTATAACTTACCATCTTTGAAACAGGGAGAATAAGTAAAGTTTAAAATAAGGTGTGGAAAATTGAATGCAATTCAAAATTAACTAAAGTTAAACTCACTTTTTTTACAATGTTTTTCTATTGAAGGATCAATGTAGAGTATTTCCCTAACATAGACGTTCCCGAAAAAGAACATGCAATTCTACTGCAGCTTTTTTCTGTTGCTTTCCGATTCTGTCTGGCAGCCCGTACGTGGGAGCTGTGGGGCAGCAGCCAAATCACTGTGTGGTATGTTGTACGGCTGTCCTAACCCTGGTTCACTCAGACAGGGACGGGGTGCACAGGTTTATCCAGCATCGCTGCTGTATTCCCACGTCTGCCAACTGTCACTGAGTCCCAGCAGCTGCTCCCTTCATCCTTACTCAGAAATTGTCTGCGTGTAGTGGTTACCTTTGTCCATCCGACTGTGAGAGTCAAAACTGTAACCAGCTGCTGGTCTGAAACATTAGTGCAGGATTGTGTCCATTTGTCATTAGCTAAATTGAAAGCTTCATTCTGTATCCATTGTTGTGGAAGCTCTCTAAGTATCTATATGCAACCAGAGTAGGATTTATAAGAAGGGATGGGATCAAATGAATTTGTCCAGCATATTTTTTTTCCCAATTTAATACTATATTAATTATTTTTATCAGGTAGTTTTCAACTCCTGTTTCCATCATCTTGCTTTAGCTGGTTTCCAGCGCTCACTGCTTGCACACCAATTTCATTGCTGCATCTTATTTGTTATTGTTTTTCATTTATACCATCCGTGTTCTTTCTTTTCTTGCAGATTGTGATATCTTTAGTCTGAACTTTTTATCTGGAGTCAGAACTGGATGTTGGGGGTCTCTTTCTTTTATTGTACAATTTGATGACGTTAAACTGCCCTAAAAATCCAGATTATTTGTCTAAAAAGTAAATGTTACTGAGTTTTTGCTTTTTGTTACCAGCAAATAAATGCTGGTAGACATAACTGTATTAAAAAAAAAATTGTCCCATTCCTCTAATACTGTATTGAGAAAAAAGAAAAATTCATCTTGGGAACCATGTATTTTATTGTTTTATTTTCAGTCACTAATAAAACTGTGAATGTCAAAGAGGAGTTTTACTGAACTCTGATTAGCAAAAATGTAATTTTAACATGCCTGTTCAGTTTTTCTATTAAGTTAATCCAAAGACTTCTTGAATAAATTTAAGCAAAGTATACCTTATTATAAATACAATTTAAATTGTCTTTTTGCCTTTTTTTTTTTATTGACTACTATTATATAAATGGGAGAGTAAAACTGATTTCAGGCATCTTGGAATATTCCAGTGACACACTGCATTTTATAAGTACTGAAATATTTGTGTACTGTAGGAGAAAATGTGCTTATAATTCACAAAGAATTATTTTAAGTGTTATTTTTTCTGAAGGGGGGAAAAAAAATAAATGGAAGCAACATGGTGGTAATTCCCTCATTGTGATTTACCCTTGGCAACACCTTTCAGCAACTGTGTTCTCCAAAATGAAGGGTGCTTAATTCTTCACTTTCTTCTGTATTCTGCAGGTCCCATAACAACAAACTGCAGTCTACAGCTTCTTAGAGTTCAGCGTGTAAGCTAACACACAAGCAAGGATCTGGTTGTCTGAAAATGTTTAATTAAGAAGCCAGATGTTTTTAGTCAGGTTATCCTGACAAGACTTGATGTAAACTGCGTTTTTATTGGTCACAACAGTCAAATTATATTCTTGGCTTATTTTGTCCAAAGGACAAAGAAATGAAAATCAGCAGCACCACTTTCTTGTCAAGATCAAATTGTTGTACTATTGTGGCAGAAGCAGGAAAATTTTGTTTTGTTGAAAGAGAGAGAAAGAAAGCAAGAAAAAAGATACAGTAAATGGGGTCACGTTTAACTCCATGGAAATGCCACGTCTGTTCTTCAGTGAAGAAGCTGGTTTAAAGTCCACACAGAAAACTTTGACTGTATTTATTTATTGTTGCAAAAAAGACGCTTTTTTAATGCTGCCCTCATTTGTCAGCTAATTATTTTTTCTTATAAAATCCAGCCCGAGTCACATGTAATCCATTCTGTATCTTAACATGATTCCTGTAGGTAAAAGTACAAGAAGACCTCTAGATGTCTTTTCTTTCTATGAAAGGAGCTGCTATGTACACATGTGCACACACACAGAACTGGGAATCAACAATGAGTTTATCATTCATGGTAGATAAAAACAATTAAGCTTGCATAAAAGTTGGGCTAAGTGGTCATGGACTACAGACTCTGTTGCCTTGAATATAACAGTACAATTTGTCATTTACTCTGCACCAGACTGAAACGAGTAAAATCTATTTGAAGGTATCTTGTTTGTAAACATTTGTCAGATTCTAATTTTTTTCTTTTGTATTAAAATTCAAAATATGGATGTATATGAAACAAAATAAATGGAGATAATTTTCTCCCCACAGATGTAGGTGTCTTTGAGTGTGCGCTAATATGTTTGTAACACTTTGGGGATCTGTTCAGGTATTTCAAGCGATAGGGGAGGGAAGTGGCCAGGGAGATCCCACTTGATCTTGCTCCAAAGGTAGCGTTTACTGCATTTTGTTCTTGAGCAGCTGTTCTCCCTTTATAAATGTTCTACAGTGGTGCCAATATTACTGTATCTGATAACATGGTAGGAAGTATTTTGTGAAATGTCACTCCCCACCGTTGGATCAGATGATATTTTGCCAAGTACTTTAGGAATGTAAAGTACTTAGCGTAATTCTGGCTGGGAAAGGCTCTGAACTGCTCCGCTGTGAGGGATGAATTGAAGTCAGAAGATGGGAATTGCAGATGACGTTGCTGTTTCTTTCTGATCTGTCACTTTCCTGTTGTCTATCTGAATGACTTGCTGATACTGCCCATCTGTAGTTAATCAGCCGTGGTTTGTGTGCTGCTCCTTACCCATGTGACAAGCTTTTGCACTAATTCACAGTTAACTTCTGTTCTGCAGCGATCTGGGATCTGCCCTATTGACAGATAAGGTCCTTTTGGGTTTAACCTCACACCTTGCTATGCAAGAACCTCTTCTGTTATTTTTTCTTAAAAAGATGTTGCTACTGACCACACTTTCTTACACTTCCAGGCTCAGGTGTACAGGTTCTTCTGGGATAACTTTAATAAAAACCCGTGGTTTTTTGTACATACAAATGTTGTCATTTAACCTATATGTGAAAATTAAAAATAATTGTTAATTGTGAAAACAATAATCCATTTATGCTTCTTAAAGTTAAAGAAGAGTAGTTGCATTTAGGTTTTGTTGTCCTTTGACGTTTAAAAAAATGCTGCATACTGTATGCATTGTGTTTTTAATGCAAAAAGGAAAAATCTCAACTTTGAACAGCATTTAAACATATCCTGCATCTCATCAGGACTTCACAGTATTTCTGTACTATTTATTCATATATAAACATATATATATATGACATCATCTAAAACTTTCCTACCTGTAGGCAATAGATTGCTATGTTTTTAACAAATTGTGGCAAACTGAAGAGTACTTTTTTGTACCTTATAGGACACATCATCCCAGACAAATAAAGTAATGTGTTTGACATTGATTTGGTGGTGTTTCTAATGAAACATTTGATGTTATCATATACAGGTCTTGGCTTTGCCAGATTATATATAGTTGCCAGTGAATCAGGTTGATCAGGGAAATAATCCATACGTACCGTTTAATTGTATGGCCGAGAGCCTTTTTTAGTGTTTTCAATTGCCGTTGAGTAGGTTGAGGTACTTTTTCTTGATATATTAATGGTATTCTTTTATAGTTTAATGGTGTTACTGAAAATCTAGGTCTTGTAATTAGTGCTCACCTTTCTTAAAAGCCTGGTAAATTCGTAAGATTTGTGATCTCTGTTGAGTCCTCCTCCTCTTTGTATTTTTACAAATTATTGCAGTATCTGTTTCAAAATGGTTATATCGTAACACAGATTTTGATAACGTGAACTATACCAACTTGATTGTCTTTTTGTCAAGTGACAAAGGAGTCACCATTCAAGCAAGAAAAGAAAGGTAAGGTGACTAACACAAAAAGAGAACGCAGAATGAATTGCTCTTCATGCTTTCTTCTAGAGCAACAGCTATGTCTGAGTGTGGTGCAGACACAATGTGTCATTTTACTCGGGCTTTGGATGCATTAGCATTGCACTGCATTACTATCATTTATATCTCTTCTGAGAGACAATCCAAGTAAGATCTAGTCGAGGATGTTATTTTTGTACCCACGCTTTCCCTATTCTATATTACAGTAACGTCTTGGGGGTGGGGAAGAGTGCTTAATTGCTGTTCTGGGCAAATGGATGACTGTAAGACTTGCTGGTTTGTCCCTGGACTTCAGTGGAAAATAGACACAGAGAAACTTGAGATGCACTTGTAACCCTTCCTCCTTCCTTTTGTCCCTCCCAGTCTACCCAATGCTTTGATTCATTGCCAGGAACAGTTCTGCCAAATCAAAAGCCCCCTCAAAATCTCTCAGGAAAATTGCATCTGTATATGCTGCACTCCATGCAAAAACTTTTACCTAACAGAACTTCACAATATCTGGGTACCTAGTCAAAGTATTCAGGTCGTGTGTTTATTCTGTGAGAGAAGTTCTGCTGCTGCCCATGTCCTAGACAGAGGGAGGTTACTGGAGCCTTATCTGCATTTAGCGTGAGCTGCTTGCACTTTGCGATTCCTCTTCCTGTTGAACCTCTTCACGTAACTGCTGCTCCTCAGCAAGCCGTCCCCTGGCCTCAGGTGCCCGCGCAGGAGCTGCAGCAGGTTTGCAGGGATCTGTCGTCTCTTGCGGTAGATCCGACCCATCACAATGTATCTGCTGCCTGCAAAATAAAGGAGGTGTCCATGTCATGAAGAAAGCACAGATTCATTCACTGCACTCACTTGAAAGGCAACAGGTTTATGAGTAGATGTGAAGTGGTGCCTTGCAGAAATAGATCCTGAGCCTGTGGCTCAGTACAGTGGCACATATGCGCACTGAACTTCAGTGGGACTTGTGGGTTGTGCTTGCATGGAAATAATTATTTACTGTGTTGTATTGCAATTAGAAGCTCTTTGGGGGAAATGCTGGTATTTAATAACCTTGCATTTAGAAGGAAAACTGGATTACTTACAAAGACACCAGATTAAGCTCCTGCATATAAATTTTTGGGGCAATCCTGAAAACTTGCAATCTCTTTGAAACTGGATAAGGTTAAGAAAGGACTATGCTGCTACCTGACTTCTTCACACAATTGGTTCTCTCCTGAAAATTTAGACAAACTGGGAGGGAAAAAGCTCTCCAGTATAACAGTAAATACTTTTTTCTTTTTTTTTTTTTTTTTCAGAATATCACAACAACCCAGGATAAGCCCATTAAACTAGGGCAGACTAAAACCGTGCTGCATGCGGGAGGTGTAGTGGAATGGATTTAGCTGGAATGATTTACCAAGTTTAAAGTCCAGACACGGTTTACTGCAGTTTAAAGTATCCACAACCAGAAGGTGAACTCGAAAGAAGAAGCCATCAGGAGTAATATACAGGCGATTCATCTTGTATAATCCATCGCTGTTTACCAAAAGCGTAATCAAGTAGACTCCATTCCCCAGTCTTTCCATGTTGTAAACAATTCCATTCACCGCTGTTTTAAGGGAAGAAGGAGGGGAGGGGGAAAAGCAACCATCAGATTATGTGTCTTGGTTGCAACTCAGGGTATGTGTGAAGGCTCATGTAAAATGCTGTAAAATAAGTGTCAGCAGAAATCATTTGGCTCAGTAGCAGGCAGTCTTGACAATAGGGGTTGTTTCAAATAATCACATTCGATGAGAACGTCACCTTAGTATTTGTTGAGGAGTTGCTAACCTTGTGCTTTAAGGGTCTGAGATGTTTTAGTGAAGTTTATAAAATGTTTCAAAAGAAAGTGATTATTTTAGTACTGTTTTCCATGGTGATATGTAGAAAATGGACATAATAACCTAACAAAGTGAAATTTTCAAATTTAAAACTTCACAATGAAGTCCAAAGCTAACCTGCTAATAAAACACCTCAGCTTTTGAAAGAGCTGACTGCAGGAATCAGAAAACAACAAACCTTTTAGGGAGGTAAGGCAAGTGGGACTTTCATAACTGGCATTACACCTGCCCCACTGAGTGGGAACTTGGATTCGGGCAATCATTCCTTAATCTGCACTGAAAGTGTAAAGAAATGAAAAGCGCTCTCTGATCACTGCAATGGAACCTTGGCTGATGTGTTGCTCAGATTGTCTTTTTCAATTTAAGAAATGAATGTTAAAGGCTGAAATGTACAAAGGTCAGGTCACTATAAGGCCTGTGTTTGACAGGAATGCATGAAAGTGGTAAAAAATAATACAGCGTTTGTAGAAAGCACTTCCTGACTTCTCTATTTAGAGAAAACAGATGTCTCATAACGTGTTTATGTTCTACAAATGGAAACATCTGTTACTACTAGGCATGTATTTTGCTTATTTCTTAAAATACCGTGAGAAGAAATTGGTATCTATTTCACAACTTTGTAAGCACAAGACAAGATTTCAGTCAGAAAGTGCTTGCTCGTAAACAGTCAGTTCAAAAATGCCAGGCTATTTTCTACCATCTGTAGCTCTATCAACTTGGACACAAGGACTACAAACATTGAGTCCTACAGAACTTCAAGGAGAATCTTAATTTGAAACTTCAGCCCCCAAAATCACAAAGTTGTTTGAAGTAGTAAGAAGTAGGTAACAAGGCTACAATGTTTAACCTTAGAGTCTCTAAAACAATTGGTCTTTTAGGTTTAGTTGACCAGCAGCAAGAACATTGCCTTCCTCCCAGGAGTGGAAAGGAGAGGAAACAGAAAAAAGAGCAATTCTAGGCCAAGGTAGGGGAAGGGTAATCTGAGACTTGGTACCATTTGTCACAGTGCATTTATAAAGAGATGTGATGGGTCCCTTTAATGTACTTAGTAATTATTTAACATACTCAGTGAAATGGTATTTTAAAAGCAGAAATGAAACGTCAGAAGTAGATGAACAAAAGCAGCCTCTGCTTTGTCTGTGTGGTTCCTGGAGAACACAACTTACCAAATTCGCTCACGCAGTAGGCCTCCACTTCATCTCTCTCTTTCTTGCACTCGGTCAGACATGCCTTCTCTTTATCGCCATCTAGAATAGGCACATAGGCTGAGGGACAGCACGGGTCCTTTTGGGATATTCCATCCAAATTAGGCCACCCAACCTTTGGAAAACTCAGGATATCCCTTGCTAGAGCAGGCTCTCCCCTTACCTTTCTTCAGCACACTGAAGTAGTACGGCAAGCTGGATGACTGGCGGTTGGTGACCCAGGAGGGTTTGGTGACCTTCCTGAAGGGATCAGTGTGTTTATAGGGTATTATATTCCGTGGTCGGTTGAAGTGATCCAGCGTGTTAGGATCATCTGACTCCGCTGCTCCAGAGTCCAGAAAAGGATGAGCCTCCACTAAGGATGTCATCTTTAGGTAGGAAGATACTGCGTGGTGGAAGTGAGCTGACACGCTGTTGCCAGCCTCGGCCAGCCGTCTATCCGCATGCTTTCTGTTGGCATGGTTGAAGTCAAACGAGGCAGAAGGAGGCCCCTCAGTCGGGTTCCCCAGAGGCAGGGCCCCTCCATACTGCAAGAGGTGTTTCCTCAGGCCCGTGCTGTTTTCTTGAGAAGCCTTGGTGCATTTCTTTTTGTCTGAGGAGAGAAAGGTGATTTTAGGAGGGTTTGGACGCTGCAGGTCGGTGGGAAGCAGAAGCCAGCGTTTGGTGTGATTGTCCCTGGCGCTGCTGGTGGCCCAGGCTGGCGGCTTGAGGTGGCCAGGCGCAGCGTCTGCTGAAGTGTAAGCATCTTTGCTGAGAGTCTGACTGGATTTCTCAGCATAGGACAGGGGTCCTACAAACAAAAAAAGGAGAGAGTGTAGAATCATAGAATCGTCTAGGTTGGTGTATTAGCGTTTTAATTTTTTTATTTCACGTGCTTCTGAATGGGAAGCACCCAGTAGATTTGAGGCTCTAGTCTGTAAGTGAGCCCTGTGAACAGTAAGACAACATAACCAATAAATAGTTCAACAGATCAAATATAGTAGAGATCCTCATTTTTCTGTACTCCAACATGGAAGGCCCAGTACAGAGAATGCAGCTGTGTGAGCAAAACACAGGAGATTTGCGTTTTTTTACTTTATTATTGTTGCAAATTAAAAACAGGACTTATAAACAAACCCTTTTCTCAAAAGCCTGAATCTCCAGGGAGCATCTGAGGAAACAAGGTTCACACTGCCATTTGGGATGCTTGTTTAAAAGACTATGACAACAGAACTATTTGGTTTTCCCATCCATGGGATGCCTTATTGACAATGTCATCTGGACTGTTCAGCGGCTTTGGGCTTTGAATGCTACTGAAAAGATCTCTATCCGCAGTTTTGGTTTCTGACTTTTGCACTACAGAGCTGTATAGTAGCAGTACCACTGCCTGGTAGCTAGGCTATTGCTGCTGAGTAACAGGTATTTCAAGGCTTTTCTTCAGTTGAGAGGACAAGGGTTGTGAAAGAGAGGAAGTGTCTGGGAATCTAGTGAAAAATAGAACAGCTTAATGACATTGTTCACACAAGCTGGACAGTCACCAAGACCTTCGTTTATACCTTCACCTTGATCATCTGGACCTCACAAAGAAAAATGACTTTCTGTTTAGCCTGGGGAGAGAGAAATTTCCTCTTGCAGTTCATCTTCCTTTTACTTTAGTCCTTCACTGTATGTCTTTAGTTAGCCAGCAGAGTTTTAAAGCAGTTCAGCCACACACAGCTGCTGTCTGGGTGTTCGCTGTCTGTGGTTAGCATCGTGTAGGAGGCTGATCCTATCTCCTTATGTGAAAAGAGATATTTGACATGCAAAGACGAACAATGTCTTCTATAACTGACTCAACTGTTGACCTTGCCACTTCTCCCCCTTTGCTCTCACCAGCTGCTGTCATGGGAAAGATTCCCTGATATTTGGGCTGGCCACATGTAAAGTGAAAAGAATGTCCATGAAGAAAGGGGTGGAAGAGATCCAGGCTAAAGAAAGCAATAGGCAAGGGTGTGCTGGAGATGGTTCAATATGAAGCTGTGAACTCTGAACAGGTGTTCTGGACTTGGGTTTTTTTTAAGTATACTTTTCTACTACAAGTTTATCATGCCTTCCCAGTCATGGATTGTAACAAGAATTTTTCTCTATTCGATCCATTCAGGACCTTGAGATTCATTCCCCTATGCCAGCATATTCCTATCTAGCCCTTGCAACTTAAGAAATACAACTGCAACATAATCAGCTCCTGGACTTCTTCCCAATGGAATAGAAGTATATCTTGTTTCTGTACATGAATGAAGTACTAAAAAAATATAAATTAAAAAAACCAAACCTCTTTAGGACAGCTTGCTGCAAACACACGTGGCAGCACAGAGCATGTTGAAATAAATCAGAAATCTGAAGTTTACAGATGAGGGGAAGGAGACTAAAAGGGAAAGGTCACATACGAATAAAAAGAAATGCAAGAAATGCAAAAAGAAAAGCAAGCCAGACTTCAGCTGCAGAATGAGGGCTAGCAGCATTCATGGCACCAGCTAACTGCCTGCTTTTGGCAGGTGCTCTTAATTCTTTCAAATGTTGACAAATCAAATATTGCAATTTACATTCTCATCCCACAAAACATGTTGAAATGTTTCTTTCTTGAGCCCTTACGCGATTACTGCTACCACTTGCTAAAAAGACTACAGCTGAAGAAGGCTGCTTAGGCAAGAATTTGTAATAATGTGTTTAGTCTCCCCTGATACCAAAGGCAAATATGCCCCAGCCCCGCTTTGAATGTTAACAGACTTACCGGCCATTGAGCTGGAAGATGATCTAACGACAAAGCAGAGGAGCCAGAACACTTTGGTTGTCATTTTGAAGTAAAGTTTTTCCAGACACAACACAAACTGGAGTCTTTTACGCCCTTCCCCTGATTCATGCTAATGAGAGGCAGCCTTAGGGGAAACAGGAATCACTCACTGGACAACCCACTGGAGCAAGACCAAGCCGCTGCCGTCCCTGCAAGCCTCCCATCACCCCTGCCTAGGAGGAATGTGCATGGACACCCCCTTCCCATATGTACACCCGTCTATACTGTGTTTCTGTGAATAACAGATGGATATGTGTTTTTAGCAACAGATTTTTATCTTAGAGGAGGGTCTTTCTTCCTATGGCATTTTATAGACAAAATCATACAGAACAAATACAGTTTTACTGGACATGGGGAGCTACAGGTGCTCCCCACTTTATAACGTGCACTTGACAGATGCTAGAACGTGCATCACCTCTGCAATTCAGCCTCTGTACAGGATGTGCTCTACCATGAAACATACTTAGGTATTTCTGGCCGCCTCCAGTTATGTAGCTGGTAATCTCCTTTAGTTTAAGAAACCCTTTCCAGTGATTCTTTTCAAACTGAAAAATGTAGTCGTTACTGTCCATGCGAGGAAAAGCTCTACTGACCCCAGATGAAGCTTCATTTTTAAGTCTGTATTTGTTAACATGAAGAACTCTGAAAATTGCCACACAACAACCCAACGCTGATTTGGATTACTGAATTAAGTAGGCTTATTCCTATGTTCCCAACTGAAAACAGGTGACCTTATTGCTAGACAAGATTTCCATTGTGACAGTTTATGTCACTGGCTACTACTGTCATGAGAGTTTTTACTGCAGCATTTATTAATCCTTATTTTCCAGCTATTTTAACCATTTTAATTATGAAAGTATTCCAACTTAGCTATTATGGAAATGAGACTTCAAACTGAGGATGAGACAGAGGTGAGCTCATGTGTTCTTTATGTGCCTCGTCTCCCACTCAGCTGGTGCGTACCCGTGGCAAGCGAGAGAAGTCAGGGGTGTGACAGACCCCTGCTCTTGAGGGTTGTGCTGAAGATGGATGGACCGATGGATGGATGGACGTGTGAGTGTCCTGCAAACCTTCTGTGCTCAAAGAGTCTTCTGTTTAAATTAGCTGATAGTGTAACTCAGCCCGTATTAATGTCTGTATGAATGAGTTTCTCCAGACTTTGTACCTGGGCAGGACCTTGATTAAAGGGGCAGTAGGCACGTTTGCAGTATTTCTACCGTTCAAGAAGCTACAGGCACGCCAGAGGCAGCGGAGAAGGGGGGAAGTTCCCGAGCAGGACTCCCTGCTCCGAAGAAAACAGCGGACCGGGGCAGCGGCCACCTCCTGGCCCAGAAGGCCGCGGAGAGCTGTGCGGGCACCAGCAGCAGATTTGCAGGCTCGGGTTCCCCTCTGCGTTCACCGCCGGGGCTCTGGAGGGCCCCCACGGCCCGACCTCGGCGGCACCCGCCCCCCTGCCGACCCACCCTCAGCTCCGCCCCGTGATCGGCGCCTGAGGAGCACCTTCCGCCCGCCAACCGGTTCCTCGGGGCTTTCGGGGATACTCGCCAGCCGCAGATCTGGGGTGGCCAGAGGCGCTGCCCGCTCTGGCGGCGGGCGGAGGCCCTCGGCTGCCTCAGGATTTCCGCGGGGAGGAGGGCAGTGGCGGCGATGGGCTCGGTGGCGCCTGTGATAGTCCGCGGTGCCGGCCGGTAGGGCGGGCGCCCCGCTGACACGGAAGCGGCTGCGGAGGATGCGTCTGAGGGAATTTGCTACCCTCCCAGGAGCGGAGCGCGGTGCTGGCTCCGCTCCGGGTCTCCGTTACCGGCCCCGGACGCTGCAGTGGAGCGCGGCGCGGCTAAAAGTAACTGTGGGGGTCCCGCTGGGCGATAATAGCGCACGACAGGCCGCGCAGCCTCCACGGTACAAAATAACTATCGTGCGACCCAGATGGGACTCGAACCCACAATCCCCAGCTCCGGAGGCTGATGCCTTATCCATTAGGCCACTGGGTCACCCAGCGTAAGAGTTTCGCGCCGCACGGTAAGAGCTCCGCCCGGCCGGCGCTGGCTCCGCCCCTAAATATGTTTTCACGTTCTCTCCGCTAGTGAGCGGGAGGCTCCGCCCCTTCGCCTCAGTCCGTTGCGCGCGGCGGCCGTTTGCGCACTCCTCAGGGCATGGGCGCGCGCCTTGGCCGCCCCCTCAATGGAGGTCTCGTCCCCTCACGAGCCTCCCGGCTTCGTGCTACCGCCCCGTCCCCTCCGCTGCCATTAGCTCCGTCTCGTCTGCTTTGCACTGGGCTTTCTGCCCTCGCGGCCCTTTTTCGCTCCTGCGGACCCTGGGCTGTCGCCGTTCGCTCAGCCGCAGCCTTCCTCCACCCGTTAGCTCCTGTGTTGGTAACAGCCCTTCACGCTGTGACACCACCCTCACCCCCAAAGGCACGGTCACCCTGTATCGGCCCTGCAGCCACCTCCCGTTTCGAAATGGCTGACAGCGCTCCCCCTCCCCTGGAACGCCCATCCCTACAGCCTCCTCGTCCCCTTCACCCAGGTCATGCTGCTCCAGACCGCCGACTCTCCAGCAATTTGTGACCCGTCAGACTCTTCACGCTGGCCCTGCCATCCTCCTGCACACCAGGTGTCCTCAATTTCTACTTTTGAGCTGCCTTTCTTTGTGTCAAACCAAGTCCTTTTCCAGTATCTCCGTTCGTGACTCAAGTATTTTCTCATCTTCACTACTATTGCTTAAATGTTGGTGTGATGTTTTTATTTTACTATAATCATAACTGTAAGGCACAAAACAAGCTATGTAAAATGCACTGGTAATTCCTCTTCTGAAGATGTCTTTACCTACTAGCATATGCATCTGCAGGTTAGTTTAAGTGGTTTAATGTAATGGCTTAACACACTGATGTGTCAATGGGCATCTCTGACACTTCTCTGCCCTGTATTGTACATTATAGGCATCAAAGTGCTTGAGTTGCTAGCAGAGCCATGCTTTTTCCCCGAGGTTTTATGGTTTGAATTACACCTCCTGTGAAACAGGGTTTTTTTCTGTATTCCATCCCTTGTAAATAGGCCAAACCCATCTGAAACAATTCTGAATCTGTTTATTTTCTAGATATGCCACAGGGATGGACGTACCTTTTTTTGTTATTCTGTATGATTTAATTTTGTTCTGTTACTGAATTGCTTTCAACTGCAACCGGACATCCCTTTTATTATCCTAGGGAATTATCCTTAAATTCCCATGTACCACGTTTCTGTGAGACAACACAGCGAGTCTCAGGAGAAGCCTGTGGTGACCGGTTGGTTACTGAAGTAGAAATTATGCTCTATGTGAGGCAATGGCGTGTTACTGCCCCGAACCGCTCAGAGCGGGACGGCCTCCCTCCTCTCGCCCATCCAGCGGTGCAAACCCCGCCCGCCATTCCAATCTCCTTCCCGGGCCGGCCGCC